TATATATATATATATATATTATATATATATATATATATATATATTATATATATTATATATATATATATATATATATATATATATATATATATATATATATATATATATATATATATATATATATATATATATATATATATATTATATTATATATATTATATATATTATATTATATATATATATATATATATTATATATATAATATTTATATATTATATATATAATATTTTATATATTATATATATAATATTTTATATATTATATATATATATATTTTATATATATATATATATTATATATATATATATATATATATATATATATATATATATATATATATATATATATATATATATATATATATATATATATATATATATATATATATATATATATATATATATTATATAATATATATAAAACAACACTTATACATGCATGTGATCACATGCATATATAAATTTGCAAATAAATATTTTATTTAATTTTTGGTATAAATAAGTATACATACAGTAAAACCACAAATTAATGATTCCAGAACCAAACTGACTACAGATTTAATGGACAAAATTTGCAGAAATGGTAATGTCCAGCTGGAACTCAAAATGCCTATGTGTAGCAAGCAATGTCTGCTAGTTCCAGAATTGGTGTTTTTACTTGAGCACTCGTCATGTACATACATAAGTCATCTCTTGAACATTTTATACTGATTTTGATACAGTATTGTTTTTTGTAAAGCCTTACATTATGGCATCCAATCATAAGAGATGAGAAAAGGAAGCATACTAACTTTAGTATTGGTGATGAATTGGAACTTATTAAGAAGTTGGTGTGAGGAGTTTCTGTGGCCAGAGTATGTGAGGAATACAGCGTGAAAAAACGAACTGTAAGTGCCGTCCTGGGTATGATGATAAACTACATCCCATGTCCAGTATAAGACAAACTACATCTGACAGCAAGGCTTCTCATCAGGATGTTTGGAGGAGTGTGGAACCATCTCTTAATTGCTGGTGTTCCAAGATCTACCCTGACTCAGGGTGGTAGTACTTGTTAGGTTCCAAGGTATGGGCAAATAGTTAACCCCTAAACTGGCGTCAAAACATCATGAAAGTGTAAAAATAAGTTTTAATACCAGCAATAAATTGTTTAAGGGAAAATTATTACCAGCAATACTTTTTTTTTTTGTTTTGAAGAATAAAATATTACCAGCAATACATTTTTAAAAAAATATTACCAGCAGTAAAAATCTTATTAGCATTAAATAACCAATTGAGGTTGATATGCTGTAAAACAAACTAAGCCAAACCAATACATTTTTGAAAAAAAAAAATATTACCAGCTGTACATTTTTAAAAAAAAATATTACCAGCAATAAAAAATTTTGTCGGCATTAAATGACCCACTGAGGTTGATATGCCATAAACCAAACCAATCTGTAAGTAACATAGTAAGAGTAAGGAAAAACTCCAAGATTTTGCAGTAATTTGTTTTAAGTTACTATATAGTAATTTAAAAATAAAATACACATACATACATGCTCTATTTACATATATTTACAATAATTTTGTTCTGTACTGGGTGTTCTTAGGCCATTAAAAAAATTGCTTCAAATTAACGGATAAACTGCTTTAATGGCCAACTCTCTTTCCAATTAGTCCATTAAATTGAGGTTTCACTGTATGTCAAAAGTACATCTTGGTGTTTCATGTTTAATACAGTCTTCAGGTACTTTTAATGGTGATGAACTCTTTGTTAGTATTTTCACATTTCCCACAATACTAACAATTGTAACAAACGGTTCATCACCATTATAAGAACCTGAAGATTGTATTGAACATGAAACTTTGGACAGTACATTCAATGTAAATTTATTAAAATATATATTATGAAATGGACATAGAATTAAATATTCAAGCTGGCAGTGTCTCCCCATACATGAAACTGAATGCAAGATTAAAATATGTAAATATTAGATCAAACCACCCTGCAAACATAATAAAGCATATCCCTAAAAGAATAGGTTATCCAGAAACTCTTCTAGCAGTATAATTTTTGTGGATAAAAAGAAAGAATATGAGAAGAACTTAAAAGTAGAGGGTCATAAAACCAAACTAAAATTTAAACCTCAAATTAAACAACATGAAGGACAATTCAAGGAAAAGAAAAATATCAATTGGTTTAACTCTCCTTTTAACTTGGAGATAAAATGTAAAACAGGGAAATTATTTTTCAAGTTACTTACTAAACACTTCCAAAAAACTTCAGAATTACATAAGATATTCAATAAAAACACAGTTAAATTAAGCTACAGCTGCACTAGTAATTTAGAAATAATAATAAATACACAAAACGTCAGAAACACTGCTACTATTCCCTCTCTTCTAATTCTTACTCTTTTTCTTATTCTTCCTTTTCTTGAGAAAAGAGGGTGTATCTTGTGTATTTCTTCCTTACTATTTTTCTTTTCTTCCTTTTCTCATGGAAAGGAAGGGGTATGTTGTTTTTAAATCTCAATAAATTGTCTACTCACCAGTCATTTACTAATGCCTTATGAGATGTGTCAATACACATTGAACCATGATTGCATTTGTGTAGTGTTTTTACATGTTTTTTTTTATGTAATATCCTAAAATAAAGAATATTGCTCTTTTTTTTAATTTGAATGTTGGACTTGGATTCTATTTCTCATTTTATATATATATATATATATATATATATATAGAGAGAGAGAGAGAAAGAGAGAGATGACTTTTTTATCTGACATTATTTCTTATTACTCCTAATGTTCTTTATAGTGGATACATGTGTTTGAGATGCTATTCCTGTTTTTTTTATTATTATTAAACAGTGAAATTGAGAAGTCCTAAACAAAAGTTGTGACTCTGACAGGAATTGAACCTGCATAATAAAAATCACATTGCACTATGTTCACATATGGTATATATTTTTATGATCTTGTAAATAAGCATTGCCAGGGGAGTATTGGTCATATACAGTAATAGAAGTGTCAGCAGAAAATGCGTGCTTTTGAAATGCCATCTTTTGCAGACACAATGGTTAAACTTTGTCACTATGAGCATATCCTTATTTGTCACAAACATAATCATTGTTTGTAGCAATAACAAAAACCTATATTTATTCCTTTTTGAAAAAGTCTGGAGATTCTGAATGGAAAGAATTCTAATGCCAAATTCTCACATGAGTGGAGATGCTCCAGTGCAACCTGCAGGCCTTGTTTTATGCGCTTATTTTACTGAGGGTAGATTTGCATTGACATTCTGAAGACTGTTAGACATTTTTTTTTTTTTTTTAATCTCTTTTTGGTTGGGCCAAGAACTTTTCAGCAATACCTCCTATAGTTTCTGTGAATTTTTAGGATGAGTAGTTATCATTATTTACATTCCGACTAATATCCTCATCTTTGTTGTTATTATCACCTGATCGCCTTCTGCCTGAATTCCTGGGATGAGAAGTTATCATTATTTACCTTCAGACTAATATCCTCATCTTTGTTGTTATTATCACCTGATCGCCTTCTGTCTGAATTCCTGGGATGAGAAGTTATCATTATTTACCTTCAGACTAATATCCTCATCTTTGTTGTTATTATCACCTGATCGCCTTCTGTCTGAATTCCTGGGATGAGAAGTTATCATTATTTACCTTCAGACTAATATCCTCATCTTTGTTGTTATTATCACCTGATCGCCTTCTGTCTGAATTCCTGGGATGAGAAGTTATCATTATTTACCTTCAGACTAATATCCTCATCTTTGTTGTTATTATCACCTGATCGCCTTCTGTCTGAATTCCTGGGATGAGAAGTTATCATTATTTACATTCAGACTAATATCTTCATCTTTGTTGTTGTCAACTGATTCCTTCTCTCTGAATTTCTGGGATGAGAAGTTATTATTTGCATTGTTTACTTGGACTATTGTCTTCATCCTAACAACAAAAATAAGGGCTATAATAAATAATCTAAAGACCCTTGTATACTTTTGTTAAATTGAATAAAAAAAAAAGGAATGATGCACTGATGACAAGTTATAATTTTAAGACTCCAAAATAAGATTAAAGCATTTTAAATTCACTATGATATTGGAAAGGTAACCTGGTGTTGTCCTGGATAAAATAAGTTCTCCTGGTATTATGCAACATTTTCTGGATTTCTCAAAGATACTAGAAATGTGATCTAATGATGTCTTTGATAGACTGTGTGCTCTTTGTCCCTTAAGGCAGATTTTTTCCCCAATGACAGGATTATGGTATCTTCATTTAATAATAGTAGCTTGAATTGCTTTTTTCTACATTTTTAACTCTGTTCAGTGTGCACATTTGCATGTGAAGATTATATTTATAACTTATTTCTTGAAGTTTCAAAATTTTAAATATTCTGCATTCCTTTTTTTTTTTTTTTTCCCCCCCTAGAATTCTCCTGATAATAGTTTTAGATGAGGTTATGATTTTGAGCAGTCTAACCATATTTTTGCTTGATCAAATTTGAGTACAAAATTTAGATGGGTTATTTTACAGGCACACCATCCGCAAGTGTCATTTCACACTGAATTTGGTAGTTTTAAGATTTTTTTTTATTTTGTGTTTGCAAATTTTTTATAAGGTGTTATTATATAAGGCTGTAGATATAATTTGGTGTTAATTGCATTTTGTAGCCAGGTGTTTATTCAGTTTCCTTTTAATATTTTGGGGTAGGGTCTTATTACTTTTAAGGATTCTAGAATGACTTTGGGTTGGACACTTTCAAAGAGGGCCTTAAGGTTTGGTAAATTGTAGAAATATTTTCATATAAGATTCAAGAATCTATGCACAAAGGGATTCATCGTCACCTTTTCCATTTTTTTCTGATTCAGAAAACAAAATCACCAAGTTTAAGAATTCTTTAAAAATAAATATCAATTGTCTGTGAAATAATAGTTGAGCTTTGAAGTTGGATCTTTGATTTCCTGATGCTGCAACTGTTGTATTCTTCCCTTTTACAGTTATGCCAGCTTCCGTCAGTTCTTGGAATGTATCATTTACCAACAGGGAAGCAGCAGAGACACCTATGAAGAGATAAGCAAAGGGTTTCAGGCACTTGATTTAGGTAAGTATCTTCATTTTAAAACAAAAAACAATATATAATAATGTGCAAGATTAAAGTAAATTCTTTAGAAAAAAAAAAATATGCTGTTCACAATCAGTGTTTGATTAACAATGTATTTCTAGACTGTTTAATCGAAGACATATGATTGAAAAAAGGGGATCAGTTTTTGTATTGTTTTTTAGTATTAAACTGATCACTCATTTTGATCAGGGCACTTTGGTAAGTGAAGGATCTACAAAAAAAAATATGGAAAAACAGGGGATTGGTTGTGTATTGTTTTTAAGTATTAAACTGATCCTTCATTTTGTGGTCAGGCAATTTTCTTTGTTTTTTTTTAATTTGGTATCACCCCAAGTGATGCAGTACAGCCATTAGTACACAAGGGGTTACAGGATGTGGAGGAATTAGAAACAGAAACATTAGTAATGTGGAGAAAGAGAAAAGAGCAATCAAAAGGACCATATAAGAATCTAATATATGAGATCAGGTTATTCTTATAAGCAATATTTAATAAAAGTGCAGATGAAAAATGGGGGATTAGTTCTGTATTCTTTTTAGTATTAAACTGATCACTCATTTTATGACTTTATGATCAGGTCTTTTTTGTAAGTGAAGGATCTACAAAAAAAAAATGTGGAAAAACGGGATTGGTTGTGTATTGTTTTTAAGTATTAAACTGTTTCCTCATTTTGTGGTCAGGCAATTTTTTTTTTTAATTCAGTATCACCCCAAGCAGTGCAGTACAGCCACTAGCATGCAAGGGGTTACAGGGTGTGGAGGAATTAGGAACAGAAACATTAGTAATGTGGAGAAAGAGAAAAGAGCAATCAAAAGGACTATATAAGAGATTAATATATGAGATCAGGTTATTCTTATAAGCAATATTTAATAAAAGTGCAGATGAAAAATGGGGGATCAGTTCTGTATTATTTAAGTATTAAACTGATCCATCACTTTTTGGTCAGGATTTTACAGATAACCGATATTTGATTAACAAAGGAAATGTAGAAAAATGTAATATAAGTAAGTTATAATAGTCTTGTTCAGACTCTATATTAATTGAATTAAAAGTAGATCAATTATTTATTTTTATTTACATTGTTTGGATTGTTTATATTTATTGTCATATTCATGATACTTTGGCTGTTGCACACTTTGGCCTTCTTCAGGTGATATACATTGAGATTTCAAACTGAAATCTTTACTTAGTCCACTGAGGTAAATTGTTCTCGTTCCATGTGCCATGCCTTTACTGGATATATCAGTTTCAGTTATTTCCATTTAGTAATTCAACTCTTCAAGTTCACCAATTATTGAACTTAGAACTGTTTGGGTCAAGTCACTGGAGTACTTAAACCAATGCCTTTATACACTGGGTCATGTGTCCTTGTTTGTTTATTTTATTATAAAAATGGTTCTTCAATTTTATCCAGATTACTATTTCTATAGAGGATGAAAGTAATTCTTGAAAACAATACCTGAATTTAATTAACATTTAATAAATAACAAAACAATATATGATAATGTAAAAGCTCAAAGTAAATTCTAAAAGATATTTAAAAAAAAAAAAAAGAAAACTTAGGCAATCAGTTTTTGATTAACAATGTACAGAATCGTGGAAAAATGAAATAAAAGCAAATAAGATAATAATAAAGAAAAAAAAGTAATTTTCCTATGATGCAAGTTATAAAGAAACCAGAAAGGGTTTTTGGTCACATGTGTGATTTTTATGACCCCACTTTCACAAAGGACAGAACATCTCTTTTCCACTTTCCATTATTCAGATGTGTTTTAGCAGCCCTATTCATGAAGTAGTGATTTGGTCATCCCAACTCAGTGCAAGGCTGACTCAAGCTTGACTATCTTTACTTGTTCTTATCCTTACTTCCCATAAATTATTTCTGAACTAAAAAGGAAAACGGACATACTCAAAAGACATTTAACTTTGTTTTGATATAGTCAACATAAAAGGAATAAACGTCCATAGCAGAAATTCAAGTTTTTTTTTTGTAATGCTTCTTCTATCTTCTTTGTTTATATATTGCACATGCACCTTCACCTAAAAAATACAAGCAAAACTGACAATCTTGTTAATATTCCACAGAACATAGTCATCTAATTAAAAACAGAATCAGTTTTAAGATTAAACTGATCCCTCACTTTATGATCAGGTTATTTTTATAGGTGAAGGATGTACAGATGTGATCATTCATTTTTTTTTTTTTTTTTATAAATAATTTTTATTTATTTTTTTTTTTTTTTTTTATAAATAACCAATATTTGATTAACAAATGAAATGTAGAATAAACCTTTTATTTAGAGCAAGTTAAGCTTGTGCAGGCTCTGTATTCATATTGGGAACACTAGGTGCCCTAAGCTTGGGTGTGCAGGTGGTGTAATGGATAATGGCTCTGAATTGTTAATCAGAGAGCTGAGTTCCAATTTCTGTTGGGTTCATTATATTCACTTATGCACAAATACCCTTGGGAAAGGTATGAATCCACCTCTTCTCCCTCAGCTATGGGTTAATTAATAAGATTTGTAATACTAAATCATTATATCCCAAAAATGAAAATTCCTACAATCTAAAAATATTTCTTGGCTTTAAATAGTCTGCAAAGGTTTGATAAACCATAAAAATCAAATCAATGAATTTCACGTAATCAAAAGTGTTAACATTGTTGTTGTTTTTTTGGGTTTTTTTTGGTTTTTTAAAGTATGGAATGGTCCATTGTTTTGATATTTCTATGGAGGGAAGGAATTAAAAGTAATTCTCAAAAAAGGATACTAGAAATTAATTAACATTTGATGAAGAACAAAAACAATATACAAGAATGTAAAAGACAAAAGTAAATTCTAAAAAAGAAAAACATGCTTATAGACAATTGGTATATATCATGAAAATTGGAGGATAAGTTTTAAATTGGTTTTACTATTAAACTGATCCCACACTTTGTTTCTTTTGTAAGTAAAGAAAATAGAAATGAAAAAAAAATAAATGATGAAAGATATAGGATTTTTCTTTTTTACAGTGAGATTCACCCTTTACGAGAATCAAGAGCCACCTGAGGTAGAGGGTTACAGAGTAAAAGGCATAGTTTATGCAGATAGGTGGGGAAGATAACAGTTGACCCTAGACTTGAACAGGTTAAGATAGTAGTGTTTGGAATAACATCCTCTTGGGAGTTGGTTCCACAGGTCAGTAGTTAGCAGGAGGAAGCTGCTTGGGTGGAACTTACTTTTCACCAACAGAATATGCTGGGAATGAGGGTAGTTTGCTACAATCTGTATTGTTTTTAAGTATTAAACTGATCCATCATTTTTAACTGGGTACCAATTTTTAGAGAGGATTATAGTAATTCTTGAAAAAGATCTTTTTTTTTCCTTCGTTAATTAACATTTGATAAAATAAGTTTTTTTTTTTTCTTTATTTTTCTTCTTTTTTTCTTTTTTTCTTTATTTTTCTTCTTTTTTTCTTCTTTTTTTCTTCTTTTTTTCTTTATTCTTTTCTTTATTCTTTTCTTTTTTCTTTTCTTTTTTTCTTTTCTTTTTTTCTTTTCTTTTTTCTTTTTTCTCTTTTCTCTTCTTTTTTCTTTTTTCTTTTCTCTTCTTTTTTTCTTTTTTCTTTTTTTCTCTTTTTTTCTTTTTTCCTCTTTTTTTCTTTTTTCTTTTTTTCTCTTTTTTCTTTTTTTCTCTTCTTTTTATTTTTTTTTCTTTTTTTTTTTTTTTCTTTTCTTTTTTTCTTTTCTTTTTTTTTCTATACCTGATTTTTAAATTAATCTTTATTAATCAAAATTATATATGTAGGTTACAGTTTTTTTTTTTTTTTAAATGCCTTTTACATAGGTAACAAATTTGTAATGGGAAAAATAACAACATGCTTATTTATATGTTCAAATTGATTTTTATGTAACCAATTCAGCAGTTAATAAATCAATCTTAATCTTTTTTTGTTACATTTATTCCAAAATATAGTTGATGTATCATGATCACAAGACTCGTAACCCATTAGGGACATAAGAGCACCACATGTACTGCAGTAGTAAGTGGTCTTTCCTGGGCAAGATAGCCTGATGGAGCCCAACCCTCTCCAGGTTGGTTTTCAATTCAAAGTTGTTATCCTAGATCAGTTGCCATAGCTATAGGACCCAGCCTGCCCTGGTATTTACCCATAGCTGTAGAGAAAGAGATAGATTTATACCTTTCCCAATGTTATTAGCATGTAAGTGAATATAATGAACCCAGTTCTCTAATTTCTTAATTCAAGCCGCTATCCATTACTTCACTGTTCCTCTTTCATATATAACTTTGTTAAATTCATGAGAAGGAATGATACACTGGTGATATTATAATTTTAAGATCCAAGGATCAGTTATTGCTCTACTCAGAATTAAGATTTTTTGATTTATAATGATTATATCCAGTCACTGTATGCATGTTCCTATGACAATTATGACAATAAACTACATCTAGCAGCATGGCCTATGATTGGGAGGTTTTGAGGAATGTAAAACCACCTCTTAATTGCTGCTGTTCCCAGGTCCACCTCGAACCAGTGTAGTAGCACCTGCTAGTGTGATCTATTACTATACGGTTAGCTATTCTCTAGTCTTATTCACTATATTATTTCTCTATACGGATTACTATTTGAGTGAGTATTATCGAGCAAGTACTATTAGTGCAAGATTATTCAAAGGTGTCTGACACCAGTATTGTTCAATGGCATACTATAGTTGTATCTGCAATTACAAAGTCTCTACTGTAACAAGCAAGACGAAAGTGACAACGAGTATTCGTTGGCATTACAAAAGTGGCAACAAGTGTTTATTGACATCACAAAAATACTGTAAATGTGACTGGATGTTGTTTTGGATACATTGGGTTCTTTGGTTATCATACAATACTTACTGACTTTAGAATGATATTGGAAAGGTGATGTGATGATGTCTTTGATAGACTGAGTTTTCTTGACTGTATATGAAAAGAAATGACATTTCTTAAAAGTTGATCCATGCAACACTGAAATTCTGTTAATTTTTCTTTTTACTTTTCCGTCACTTGCCTTCTTTTTAACTACATTATTTTAGTGCCTCCTTGTGGAGTAATGGTTAATGTTCTAGGCTGACTATTACTGCTGTCATGAGCTTGATCCTCACTGAGAACCCGACACTTTTTGCCTGGAGCTGGACTAAGCTTAGTAAATATAATTAGGGTTATTGTAGAGCAGCAGTTAGTAAACAAGAGTTAGGTTTTGATAATTTCAGAATGCTTCATATTGGTGACCTTGGGCCAGACTTGAGTTTGATAAACACTTATAGCTATTAAACTTGCAAAACACTCTTGGAATGATAATTATAAAACTTATGTTTATACACTTGAGTAAAGTTGCAGATAGATCAAAATGTGTTAACAACAAAATGAATGAGATCCATATATTAAACAACAATTAGAATGATAATCACTCAACTTAAATTACAAGAGGCACCTTTGTACACATGTGTAAATCTGTAGAATGGAGAGGTGAATACAATACAAAGAATGAGTTCAATAGTCTGAAGAACTCTTGGGAATGATAATGACTCTTCTCAAAATGCTAGAAGGTAGGCATAGAATGTATTGACTGAAACATTGTGGTAACAACAAAAGCAATACAAAGAATGAGTTCAATAGTCTGAAGAACTCTTGGAATGATAATGATTCCTCTGAAGATTATAGCAAGTATCTTTGTAGATCTGTTACACCTGTGTGGTAACAAGAAAATAAAAAAAAATGATTGTGATCAATTCTTGAAGCATCTGTTTATATTTCTGAGATGAGGTATTCTAACTATTTACACTATTTACATTGTTCAGACTGTTGCCCTCATCTTTATTGCCACATTCACACTTTATCAGCTATTGTACACTCCAGTCTTCTTCAAATGATATGGATCAGTGAATAAAAGTGTTGCTTGATTGATTCTTAAAGAGACTTGACCCATAGGGTTTTGAGTTCAATCCCTGACCTCCGAAGAGAAAACAAAAACTTGGAGAGTTGATTCATCAAGGGAAATTAACTAAAACTGAGATATTTAAAGGTATGACACATGGAATTAGAACAATCAACCTCCATGGACTTTGGTTCAAAATTCCAACAAATATCACCTGAAGAAGGCTAGAGCGTACAATGGCTGAAAAGTCATGAATTTAGCAATAAATAAAGATAAGGATGACAGTCCCAACAATGCCAGGATGGTTGTCACTTGTGGTGATGTTGACAGTTTACCCACACACCACGGCTGCTGACAGTATTGCAAGCGGTGTTCTTAAAAGCAGATGGAGCAGATCATGACTCAGTGTTTTTTTGTTATGTCTTTAGTTTTAGTGGCAGCGTTTGTGATTGCTTTCTTTTATATAGCTTTTTTTTAGAGGGTGGGTTGGTTTTGTGAGCCAAATTTGATGCTTGGAGCCCCTGCACAGAGAGCAACTTTTTTATTTTTAGTTTTGCTTTCTTGGCATTCACATTTGGCCGACAGGTTTTGATGTGGAGTGAATTGGAAAGAAATCTAGTATAAAGCAGAGTATAACAATAGTATATAACAGGTTAAAGAACCTTGTTTGCCCTGGTTTTTTATTCATAGTTGATAGCAATGGATTTGGATTCTTATTTTTTCCAAGTGTATAACTATAAAGTGAATACAAACGAGCAGCAGGAATTTGAACTCAGCTTGGCAATTCCTTTTTCTATGCAGTTTTTGCCAACCAAAACCTAAGTTTGTCATTCACATCTTTTTCATCCAGCCATTTTGTTTTTTATACATGAGATATTCTTGCAAAGAAATAAAGGAGTTTTTATTTATTTTTTTTTTTAATACAATTCTACATCTTAGCCATTTTCTACACTGAAGTTTTCACATAGTAACACAACAAGTATTATTCACTTCTTTCAAAGTGTATATTTGTTGATTTCTTTCTTTTTATTTTTTTAGATCAAGATGGTGTCTTGGATCTTTCAGACCTGGAGCAAGCAGGTCAGGATCTTGGCTTGAAACTTACCCGCCATGATTTTTCAGAAATGATTGAGGAAGCAGATACAAATGGAGATGGCAAAGTTAACTTTATGGAATTTGCAAATGTCATGCTGCGAACAAATCTATTTGTTTCAGACACTTAATTTATTGCCAAATAAATTAAGCTTTATTTTCTGATTATTTCAGTGTTTTCAAATTGGTCTGTTTAATCAAACTCTATTCTTTAGCTCCACCAGTTCAGACCTTTGCAGCTCGGACACATCATGCTACTTCCATGAAGTTAAATCACCATCATTTCCTCTATATTCTAAATGTAAGAAGAAAGTTCCAAGAACTGCTACTTTGTGGAAAAGACTCCCACATGGATGCTTCCATGAACACTACAATCTTAACATCTTCATATCAAAGGTCAATCATTATCTATCCTCATTAAACTCGATCTTCACTTCCTACTACTTATATCATACACCTTAATCATCATAGCCATTTTAACAGTAACTCACTACTGTGAGTGGCTTTTGAGCCTTTTATTGGGTGAATTTAAGTATAGAGAAATAAATAGAAAACTTATTGTATTTATTTGCTTAACTTAGATTAGTTTGGTATAAGGCTACAGTAGTTGAGCACTCGGCACTACACTTGTGATTTCTAATCATCACCACCAGCATCAGTTCTTTGACTACTTCAGGTGGGGGTCTGAGTATGGAAGAAACAGACTTTGATTCTTCTTCATGATACTTTCAGTGAGTTTTCAGATAGCTTGCTGGCACCCATCTCTATTCCAAACTCTTGACCAACAGCCAAAGACTATGGAATATGGTGTGGGTTGCCCTTGATCCTTACACTAGTTTTGAATTCAGAGTTATCCTTCTCCTAGATTAGTTGCCACCCAAGGCTATAGCAGCCAGTTTGTCTTGCTATTTGCCCATGGCTGGGATGAGAAGAAATGAATTCATACCTTTCCAAATGGCATTAGTACATAAGTGAATGGAATAAACTTGACTGGAATTTGAACTTGGCTCTATTGCCGCTATCCATTACTCCACTACATCTTCAATGTGCCTTTCTAATACAAACATGTTAGCCATCATGCCAGAGTAAGTGTCTGATATAGATATTTACAAAGCTTAGTTTGGTACAAGACAATGGGGGGCACCTAGTGAGTATTGAACTTAATATTTTGTAGTAATGGTTTTTAACTAGTGTAAGCTATACTACAATAATCATCATCTGCAGAGGTTAACTTCTGAAAAGATTGTGCTATGTTTGGTCTCAAACCACATTGGAATTGAGGTAAATGACAGAGCTGACACTGGAGGTAGGTCAGTTCTAGATATGGTTATCTGAGGACCAGAATTAGTAAGCTTTTTTTTTTTTAGAAAAACTGGCACCAATATTGAAGTAAAAATCTACTGAATAAGATTTCCAAAGGGAAGCCCATCTTAGGAAAATAAAATCAAAGACTCAAGAAAAGCAAAATGAATTAGTAACCTTATCCAAATTACACATCAACCATACAAAAATCACACATCTGCACCTCTCATAGGATGAGCAGCTGAGATTGACAGCATGTCCTGTACTATAAATGGTGAAGCACTTTTTGTTTGGAGGCGGGGGGATCTTGCTCTGGTTAGAAAGTGATTTTATAGTGTGAAAAGCACAAGTGATATATTCATAAAGGTAGATTGGGATGACCTGTTATTTTCCATAAAGGAAGTGGGCCTATAATCCAGCTTGTGTATATGCAAATAAGAAATCATTTGAATTTAAATCGGGACAATGTCCTAAATTTCAGTTTGAAAATTTGGCAATTCTAATGCATTCCTATAGTAAAAATCATTTTCCAATGCATTCCTATAATAGTAAAAACCGTTTTCCAATGCATTCCTATAGTAAAAAAAAAATGATTTTCCAATGCATTTCCTATCATAAAATAATTTCCAATTACATTTACAATATTTACCAAATAAAAATACAAGAAATTCAGTCCATCATTAAATTCAAATTATTTCTAATAATCTTCAGTCTCTAAGATTGTCAGATGTGCAGATGGAGTAATGGATTGCAACTTAGAATGAGAAATCAGAAAGAAAAGTTTGAATTCCAGTCAGGTTTGTTACATAAACTTAGGTGCAACTACTCATGACAAAAATGTATGAATCCATTTCCCCCCCCAAGCTATGAGTTAAATAGTAGGACTTGTATCTGGGAAAATCATTGTTATTCTCAAAAATTATTAATGCAATATTGCACTTGCAAAAAAATATTCTTAGAATTCAAAATGTTTTGGTTTTAAATAGCCCACAAAGGGTTGGTAAAGCATAAAAAAACATAATAATAAGATTGTCTCGTGCAGTAATATTATTTTATTTCCAGTTAGATAGGTGTTATACCCAAAGCGGCAAGGTGGACTCACCCACACATGTATAAATGTGAGAATTGAATGTGGGACTGGGGGAGATAGTAAAAACTGTATTTAGTGGTCGTTTGAGAAAATACAGTAGTAATCTGCAGGTGGAATTACTCTAAGAGTGACTGAACTCAACTAAGCAATAGACACATTACAACAGTGGCAATAAGATGAGATTGTGGCAATTAGAAAAAAAAAATTTTTTTCTTTCTACTACCAGAATTGGGGAGTTACAGCTGCTTTTCTAATGCCAGACACAGATTTTGGAAGCATTCTTAAGCAAAAGAGAAAAAATTTCAAGTCCAATGGATTTTATTTCAAATTTAATTACGCCCCAGGTGATAACCTCATGTTTTAGGTATATTTTTGATGTTTTGAGAATTTGAAAAAGAATGTGCTGGGTGAACTGATGTAAAAAAAAAATAAAAAGTCCAACTATTACTGAGGAGGCTGGGAACAAAAGAACATAAAAGTTACTGTAATTTTATATTACCAAAAAAAAAAAACCCAAGTGATGTGGATTTTAAAAACATGATAAAAGTTTTGCTGACAATTTTTGGTGAAAAAGACTCTGTTTATCATACTTGATATCAAGTTTTCAACTATGAAAAGAAAGAGATGATTTTTCCACATGTGCGGGAATAGTAAAGAGAATGTGAAAAGAGTAAATTAAAACATTTAACAGGAGACCAGTTCAAATGTTTAATTTTCATGTTGGGTCTGAAGTCACACAAAGATAATGAAATAAGAACAAAAATGTGTCTATATTTCTGAGATGAGGTATTATGTACATTATTTACATTATTCAGACTATTGTCCTCATACCATATTTATTACAACATTTCAGCTGTTGTACACTCCAGCCTTCTTCAGGTGGTTGGAATGTCGAACTGAACTCTTTATTTCACTCACTGGGGTAGACTGTTCTAGTTTCACGTGCCATGTTTAATGGATGTCAGTTATCAGTTATCTCCTGTTAATTTCCCTCTGAAAGTTCTCCACTGCCTTAACCAGGTATTGAACTCACACTCTTTGGGTCCTATCACTGGATCTAACCAATGCCTTTATCCACTGTGCCATGTGTCCTTGAGCAAAATAAAGGGTTCAGTTCAACATTCCAACCACCTGAAGAAGGCCAGAGTGTACAATGGCCGAAACGTTGTAATAAATATGGCGACAAAGATGAGGACAATAGTCCAAATAATGTAAATAATTTAAATTTTTTGTTTTAAATTCAGTCTGCAGAGTTTGTGATTTGAAGAACTCAATTTTCAACCTGAATTGGAATTTTGGCCTAAATCAGTCTTTTGGCTGAAATTGGACTTATAACCCCAATCAGGGTTAAAGTGAGGATTTGAAGTTCCATGGAGTGAATTGAGGAATTCAGTTATTTCTTCAAAAGTATCATTGCTGTTTTCTAAGCTGGACCAGAGGTCCCTTTAGTTTTGGGTATAAGGCTCAATTAGCCCTCTGCAGTAGCTAGCTTAAAAGTCCACACAGCATGTGGCTTTTAAGCTAGTTTGGTAATAAGTGTGTTTAATGACATATTTCAGCTAAACATGGGAGCATTATCTCCCTTTATTTTTAATGGCGTATTCTTTTTATTTACATTGTGTGGGTTCAAATTCAGATATAAATATATCTGTAAAGACAATATAAAGAAAAATCTTTTATGCCATGTTTTATTCCTTGAGGAACTTTATTAAGGCAAGTGTAGAAAAAAAATGTAGTTTAAACTTATTTAAAGAATTTGCAATAAGTTCTGAGGCACTTTGAAGTACCCAAGCAGTGACTAACATCCCTACCAGATGTATGATTCAGCAATTGGACTTGTTTCAAGCTGAAAAGTCTATAAAAAGAATCATGGTATCTAGCACCCCCCCCCACGAGGGTTGCATGTGGCACAAGGCCGAGTTTTTACGTGGGTTTCCCGAGCCCGTAGGCTCGGCCAAAAAATGCCCATATAACCCGTATAAACGAGATCGGGTTGGTCATTCTCCCCGAACAAGATTCTGCCCTTCGGCGGATCCTCATCCGGGTTCCTTTCTGCTCAGAGGCAGAAAGTTCGACCGTCAAATCGAGAAGCTCTAAAAAGAATCATGGTTGATGTATAAACATGTCTATAGCTTGTTTTGGGGTGTGTTTATTGGTCAGTGTCTGAAAAAGACACTTTTGGTAAAAACATGTATACATGTCTATGCCAGAAAGGGATTAAAGAAAAGGAAGCTGTAGAGAGCCACGATCAGTTACATCTGGAAGGGACATGAAAGAGAAATTATAGTAATGTATATTTGATAATTTCTCACTTAAGACAAAGACCTTAAAGCAAATTGTTTTTCTGCAAAAGAAGAAAAACAAAAATTAATGACAATCATTTCTTGCTCTGTAAATTACTGTCTAGCCTTGACAAAAGGCCTTGTGGATGACAAATTATTTTCCACTTCTTTTCCCACAGATGAAATGTTGTTAGCATCTCACTATTTTCATGAAAAATGTTGACAAGCTTCATTCCTTAGTTCCACTAGTTAAGACATTCTCAGCTAGGACACACCATGCCACGTACACACAGTTGAAGCACCTTTATTCCCTTTGTTTTCTATTGGTGAAATGGAAGTTCCATTCAGACAGCTTCTTCCCTAGGACTATGGAACAGACTCCCAAGAAGCTATTTTCCCAATCACTTAACCTTCAATACTAAAATCAGTTGTTATTTATCCTATACAGAGCTGGATT